GCTAGATGCAAGGTTGGCAGTTTGAATACAACCAGACGGATCTATGGGAAAGATTAGAAAACCTTAGGTACTGTTCTACTCTGTCACACTCGGTCAGGTTTGAAGTTGACTTGGTGACACTAACAACTACAACCAAGGTCTAAAGTTACTGTGAGGTTACTATACCTTAGAATAGCACAAGGCACTCAAAAAATATTGGCTGTTAACGTGCCTTAGTTATCATTATAATTGCACAGTGGATGCAATGTGATTGGGATCATGAACTGATTTCAGCTCAGGTTCTGCCTCTGACGTTCACCCCATGTATTCCACAGCATCTCTGTGCTGAGTTCAAGGCACCCATGACCCTAGCTTCTGGCAGAGCTGCCTCTGCTGGGTTTCAGGAAAATGTCAGTCCTTGACCTTTAGAGGTGGCCAGCAAAGAATGCATCCTCTGAGCACACTCTGGAGGAAAGTTCCACCTCCTCAGTCTTTCTGGGCACCTTTGATGAGCTTGGAGCTGGTGCTCAGGACCAAGTGTGCATCTGCTAGGGAACAGATGAGGAACGCCATGGGATAAGTCTTATTTCCCTTTTTGCCTTGGTTGCCAGGCACAGTGTGGGCAGATTCTGTACTGCCCAAAGGCTATGTGCCTTTTGCAGGCAGTGTGAAAGCAGGGGAAAGAAAGCACAGGCTTCAGACCCTAAACTGAGTTTCCTATGTTACCTAAGGCAAGTGACTACTCAGAGTTTGCTACTTCATCTGTAATAAAGAAGGAACAAAGATCTCTTCCTCAGAGGGTTATACCCTATCTTCTCTGCAGTCTGCTGGCTGAGTGAATGTCACAGTTCCCTCCTCTCTCTGAGCTTGTTTTCTCTTCTGCAAAATGAGAATTGTGTTCACAGCCATGTTGATGGTCCCTAGGTGGCACAAACAATGTACTTGACTGAATTAATTGTATGCATTTAATTGAGTGCATTAGTTGGCAGTTAGCACTCACTCACAGGCACCTGGGAAGAAAGGCCTGGTGAATTATTTAAAAAAAAAATCAGCCACTTAAAATTCTACAGAACACAGCTCTACTCTGCATGCCCAGGGCACCATAAATTGGAATCCTCTTATTGGCAGAGGTTTGATTTGCCTTATTTTTAATAGATTGTAGAGAGGATCACTCAGAGGACACAGCCTGCTGCCTGCTACGTGTTTGGTACTTTCTAACCAGCACCTAAAAAAGTCATCCTTTTTCAGAGTGAACGCCCTCTCATTGGAGGACCGGGCTTGGAAATCAGTGGTTTCCTAAGTTAAGATTTGCTGAAAAGCAGAGCCTTTCTGTAGCAATTTTAAAACCATGCTTTGTGGTTTGACTTCAGTCTGGATTCTTGGTTCTGGAGGTGGGTGGAGGAGGCTGGGCAAGTGCTCTGAGGTTCCTGGAGGAGTAGGTCATTTCACCCAGGTGCCTGCGGTGGGAATACCCGCCCTCCCAAGACACGCACACTCTTTTATGAGGTGCACCTGACTGCTGGCTAGTGGGGGGCGGGGGGCATACCTGCTGGGACATGCCCTAGAGGGAGAAATGCAGAGAGTGGTTCCAAGACCTTCCCACAGCCTACTATCCTATGCCCTGGGAGGCTCTGCTGAAGCTGCACAAGCAAGAGAGGCAGCCCCACCCAGAGACCCTGCAGCCCAAATGTGGTCCTGGTGCCAAGGGAGGTGGCAGTCTGCATGCTTCTGGATGTGGTTGAAAGAAGTGTATGAAAGTCAAGTACAAGAGAAGCTAGCACCAATAGATAGTGCCCAGGCTGGGTCCCAGGATATCCCCCAATCCTTACCTCTCTCTTAGTCACTATGGAACCCCTTTGGTGTCCCTAAAATCTGTTTCTAAGGCCCCAGTTTTTTCTGTCCAATCCCCAAACTGGTGTACCTTAGTCTTTAAACTGACATCCTTGCTCTTTAACATTTTAAAGAGGTCTTTAACAGCACATTTGCCCAATACAACACACCTTTTGATTTCTTGACTGCTGCTACTGTGGGTGCTGAATGTGGATCCAAGTAAAATTGAATCCTTGAAAACTGCAATCTTTTCCACCTACTATGATGTTACCTATTGGTCCAGAAGTGAGGATTTTTGTTTTGTTTTGTTTTGTTTTCTTGATGTTGAAATGTAGTCCATACTAGAGGCTGTAGTCTTTGACTTTGTTCAGTAAGTGCTTCATTCATATTTAAAGTCATTTTATATAAGATCATATATTAATTTGGAAAGTCTGCTGTTATCTACTTCCACATTTTAAGTAACTATATGGTTTAAATTCTGTATGTATGGCTTTGGCTTTAGCATTCCCATCTTAGAGGATGCAAAGGAGAGGGAGGAGAGGACTGAGTTTTCCAGAGCATGTAGTATTTCTTAGTCAGTATGTCAATATCTCTTAATGAAAATAGAGATGTTCAAGACGTGGTCCTTCTGAATCCATGTACCCAGTGGCCACGGGAGACCGCATGGGGGAACATTAGCAGGAGAGCTACTGGATGAAATTATATATATATATATATGAAACATTTAATTGTGCTAATACGAAACCTATACTTGGACCAAGAGGCAGTAGTCAGAACAGAGCAGGGTGACACTGCATGGTTCAAAATTGGGAAGGGTGTACGCCAGGGATGCATCCTGTCTCCATACCTTTTCAACATGTATGCAGAGCAGATTATCCGAGAGGCTGGGCTCTATGAGGAGAATTGTGGCATCAGGATTGGTGGAAGGTCTATTAACAATCTCCATTATGCAGATGACACAACCCTGCTTGCTGAAACAGAGGAGGACCTCATGCACTTACTGCGAAGGGTCAAGGACTGCAGCCTTCAGTATGGACTGAGGATCAATGTCAAGAAGACAAAGATTCTCACCACTGGACCAATTGGCAGCGTCAGGATGGATGACGAAGAGATTGAGATTGTTCACAGCTTCAGTTTGCTCGGCTCCACAGTCAACACTCTTGGCACCAGCAGTCAGGAAATCAAAAAGCGTATCGCGATGGGAAAGTCTGCTGTTAGGGACCTCTCGAAAGTATTCAGGAGCAACGGTGTCTCTCTGGAGACTAAGGTGCACCTGATACAGGCCATGGTATTTGCAATCGCTTGTTATGCATCAGAGAGTTGGACAATGACTAGGGAGGACAGAAGGAGAGTGGATGCTTTTGAGCTGTGGTGCTGGAGAAGGGTACTGAATGTACCCTGGACTGCCAGGAAAACAAATGGATTTGTCTTGGAGAGGATTAAACCAAGCTACTCCTTGGAGGCAAGGATTCTGGGGCTTCGTCTGACATACTTTGGACATGTTGCCAGGAGGGACGGGTCCTTGGAGAGGGACATCATGCTTGGGAGGGTTGAGGGACAACACAGGAGGGGAAGACCCTCTATGAGATGGATTGATTCGGTGACTGGGGTAATAGGGATGGGTGTGTCAGAGGCGGTGCGGTTGGCGCAGGATAGAGCAGGGTTTAGGGCTGTTGTGCATAGGGTCGCTATGAGTCGGAAACGACTCGACGGCACATAACAACAACAACAACATATATATACACACACACACATAGGAGAGAGTGGCTGCAATAAGAGAAAAATTAGCAAGGACTCAAATACAAGGTGGTCTTATGTTCAGAAATGTATGATAAATCAGGGTGCAGGGTGGGATGTGGGATAGTGATGGCTTCTTGAAAATGGAGGCATTGAATCAACCTTGAAGAGTGTAAACTCTCAGGGATGAGCTGAGCAGTTTAAGTAGGAAGTCCTGAGAAACTAAGCCAGGAGGTCCTCTCCTTTCATTCACATTGCTCTAGGCCAGCTTTGCCTCTTACCAACTGGAAGATCTCAAACATCTCCCTTCCACTCTCTGAGCCTCAGTTTGCCCAGGTGTAAAATGTAAAATGGGACAATAATAAAATTTTCCTCCTTCTTTACAAAACAAAAAAAGACAAAAGCATGGAAAATAAGAGTCCAGAAAAACTGGTTTGAAATTAGGTCTTCTTGGGCCAGCCGTTGTATCACTTCATGATCCATGTTCTCATCTGTAGAATGGGGGACAGGCGCTAGCAGGCTTCATTCTCTACTGTGTTCTAGGTGCCTCTCACGAGACTGTTCAGGAGAGATGCTAAAAAAATAAAATAAAAATTAAAAAAAACCTAAATAAATAAAATAAAAATCTGTAGCGTGAATGAATGAATGAGGAATTAGTGCCACTGCCTCTCCCAGGAGCTCTCCAGCTCTTGCCAAGGCTAATTCTTCCATCAGGTGGCACATCCCACCCACCCCTCCCAGGTTGTCCGTGACCCCACCCCCTAAAACCTAGTCATGACATCACATTTTGCCTTGGTTTGGTTTGGTTTTCTGTTTTTTGTGGGGGAGCTCCTAGTTTGATAATTACGTTCTGCCATCAGCATCACTGCAGAGCTCTGTGAGCCGAGGACCGCCAAAGCTTCCAGTTCACAGGATTATTTCCTTCCATCCTTTTTCGCTTTTCGACACCGACCTAGGTTTCTCCTATGCCTTGGCCTGTGGTCTCTGGGGTAGAACAAATGGCTTCAAGAGTTTTATTCTATCGGAAGAAATCTTCTGCCAGCAGCACGTACGTCTCCGCTCGCAGGGGCGAAGGCTTGGTCCCCTGCCGCGCAGCGTTTGAAAGGTGACCTGGCACAGAGTGGGCCTTCTAAGTACTGGAATAAATGACTGTACGACGAGAACGCTTGCGAACTTGGCACCCACAAGGCACCCAGCTGCCCTGCGCGCCTTTCTGCCCGGGCGCGGGAGCTGCGAGGGCGGGTGGCTCTGCCTTCTCCTCCCGTCGCCTGGTGCAAACTTT